GCAGAGAGGCGGAAGTGGGGGAGGGTGGGGGGGTGTCGGTCAGCCCTGGATACCCCTCTGCTGGGCCATCCATCATGTCACACTCAACATCCTCATGGGTCCCTGGTTCTACCAATTCACTTTCTTGTCTTCCCTAGTCTTTCTACTTGTCTGAGTGGCCTCCACACCTGTGTTCATGCTGTTACTTTTGCATGGAAAGCCTGTCCACCATCTTTAATGATGCCCATTCTTCAAGCCTCCCTCAGCCTGTATGTAGTCTAATTATGGGATCGGCCCAGGAGCCAGTACTGAGAAACAATGGTCCCACTTCTGGAACTTTGGGCCTTGTTATGCCAGACGACAGGGGCTGGACACTCCAGGCATCTTTAATACATTCCTCAACCAAGCCAGATACCCTGGAGGGGCCCAAGGGGGTCTGATCTTGGGGCTGCTGTGGAACAGCTCTAATGGGGTATGGCTGGAGTTGTGGGAACTCTGCCTTGAGGCTACTCAGAAGTGCCCCCTGGATTCCTCCTGGCTGAGGAGGAGACCCCAGAACAGACAGGAAGTAGTGGGTTGGGTGAGGCTGGTAAAGGAACCTTCTGTTCCCGGAAGCGGCCATCAATGATGCTGCTACACAGGTCATCCAGCCGCTTGCGCTCCACGATGTGGTCCAGAACTAGTTCCCCAGGTTTTGCTGCCGAGAGGCCAAGAAGGGTCCTGTTGGCTCACGTCCTCTGACCCACCAGGCCCTGCCTCTGACACCTACCTGACTGTCCATACCCCTTACCTGGGTCTCTGGGCCTGGTCTCCTGTGCCACCCACACGAAGTCCCCAACATGCAGTTTGCGCACCATGTGGGTCACGTGCAGCCGCTGCAGCTGGCGGAGCAGCTCTAGCCTGTGCCCTGCCCTGGAATTGCAAGGTGGGAGGCTTAGGTCAGGGCAGGCCAGTGACACCCCCTAGCATCCTCTCCCTCACTTCCCCCCCTACCTCACTCACCCCTTGGCCTCGCCAACATCCACACACAACAGTACCCTGTATTCTCCAGACCTCAGCTCCAGTGGTGACTGCTGGACACTGCCTTCACTGGCGCCACTATGGGAGGGGGGGTTGGTGTGTGAGGGCAGAACCTCAGTGCCAAGGCAGTTTCCCTCCAAACCCAGTGGAAGTGGTGCAGACACAGCTTAGCTGTAGGCGATGGAGACAGGGGTGGGGTGTTGGCCTCATTTCTGGGACTCCTCCTGCTTCCCTTTTCTTCCCACCTCCCCCACCCCGCCCCCTTCCTCACAGCTCAGCTGAGGCTGATCCTGGCACTTTGGGCTCCTCCCCAGAGGGCACCTCTGGTGAAATGGGCACATTCAGTGAGCTCAGGCCCTCTGACTCAGCCAACTTCTGGGCCAGCTCCAGACCCTCCTGGGTCAGTGAGTACCTGGTAGGCAGAGGAGACAAACAGACCCCTCTTCTTCACTCATACCTGGCAGGCTCTTCTGCCTGCTCCCAGCTAGGCTGGCCTCACCACGCCCTTGGGGACACTTCACAAACAAGTCCAGCGGCTTCCACCCCCCACACCCCAGGCTGTGTTCTTGCCCCTCAGATCAGCTTCCTCTGGACCTCATGAGGGCCATTTCTCAAATCTGCAGTAAGTATGTCCCACACAAACTTTCCTTTCTCCCAACTCTGTTTATACTGTTCCCTCCCTGGAATGCTTTCCTGCATCTCTACCCTCTGAATTCTAAGACATGTCAAATGCCATGTCCTCAGCAAAGCCTTTCTGCTCCTCCAATAATCTGTGGCACCTCCCCCTCCCCACTGGGTCTCTCAGATCCTCCTGGTACTCCTCCCACAGTGTGGGCTCCTCAGGGTAAAGCCTCCCCCAAGTTCAACATTTTGAGGCCAAGGAATTGCTGGGTGACTACAGGCCCTACTCAGTAGAACATCATGCATGGTTCCCCCTCCCTGCCTCCTGCACCCCCTGTAGTTGGCCTCACCTGGCTGGCTGGTGTGTCCTGAAGACCAGGTTCCTATGGAGGAGGGAACGGAGGGCTGGCCAGGGTCGAGCACTCCCAGGGGCCACCTGTCCACAGGAGAGGAGACTTTTAGAGAGCCCCTGGTGCTGTCATATGTCCAATTCTCTGTGCCCCATGCCACTGCTTGCTCCCAAGAAGGGCAGCCTCTGGTGGGTTCAGGGTCAGATCCAGAGCCACTTTGCCCCATCCTTCCCCACCTCAGTGCTCACCCCAGGAACCTCCAGGGCACACCTCTGCAGCAGCTCCTCCTTGGTTAGGAAGCTCTGGCCACTATGATTCTGTAACCAAGGCAGAAATATAACCAAGGGAGGTTCAGTGCCTGGGCCAGTCTCCTCCAGGAGCCTCATGCCCCACTACATTGGTTCCCCTGACTCTGGGTGTAGCTAGGCACTCACCAGGTGCTCTCTGTAGAGCAGCAGCAATACTGCTCGTGCTCCTGAGTGTTGAGCTGGCCAGTAGCTGCTAGAGCTTCCCACTTTGGGCTGGGATGGAACCTGAAAGGTACAGAGAGGCTTTGAACACAAAAGCGCGAGCCACACATTGTAAACTAAATTCCTGGCGGGGCAGAGGTTCAGGTTCTATCTCAGCAGGCGGAATGGCCCTGGATAAGTCACTCAGCTGTCTCTTGGGTTCCACACCTGTAAAACAGGCCAGATGATGGGATGATCCCCTGCAAAGCTGGGATGAGATGGAGAGTTGCAGGAAGGTGGTGTAATGGACCTGGTCCAGCCTCAGTTCTACCACCCACTGCAGGACAGAGGTGGTAACGCAAGAAAACTCAGTAACAGCAACTCACGATTTACTAGGCTTGGCTTGCTAATAGCTTGATCATGAAACTCTTCCAACTGACTCTGTTATCAATCAACATACTCATCTATAGGTGAGGAAACTAAGTATCAGAAATAACTCATTTGCCCAAGGCTAGGCATCACTGGTGGGGAGATCCACACATCTTACTCCTACTGCTCCCACTTTCCCTTGTCCCCTCCTCACTGGCAGGGAAGAGTCCGGGACTTCCGCAGGTGGCCCTTCCGGGGTTGGATTCTCTGCTCCACATGAACCTGGGGCATGATCACCTGCGGGGGCAGAAGAGAGTCAACCCTAGACCCCACGGAATCCAGCAGGTGGGAGGGTCTGGGACGCTGCCAGTTCATGTGGTAGCTGAGAGCAGTGAGGCTCTGAGACAGCCGGCCACTAGCCCAGGGTCATGCAGCAACTTGGGCAGCAGTGGGGAGTTAAGGTATCCCAGGTGGTTACGAAAGCTGCACCTGGGGAGTCACAGGGGACCACCGACCCCTGCCCCCAGCGCTCACCGCCCGATGATAGGTGCTGCTGCAGCCGCTGGTCCAGCATCCGGCAGAGCCCGTCTCCGAAATGCCGTAGGATCCTAGCTTCTTTGCCGCTGCGCAGGGGAAGTGGGTAACGCCGGAGTGAGCGCAGCGCCTGGAGGGGGTACAGGGTCAGGGCGGGCCTGGTCGTCGGGCTCTGCCAGCACCTACCCCATCAGGCGGGGCCCGGACCCACCTTTTGAAATACGAATTGTGTGCGGCGACCCCTGCTGGCTGCCTCGTCCCGCCACTCGGTCAGCCAGCTTACAAAGAGCGGGTTGGGGCAAATTGGCAGTGGGCGTTTCCGGCCCAGGCGGACCGGCGCCGCCATGAGCCCCAGGAATGGTCCTTTGGCGCCTCACGCAGGTGGGACTGGAACTCCAGTTCTGGACAAACGGAGGATTCGAACACCTGGCTCAGACCAGTGAGGGCGGGGCCTCTCCAAACACGGGGTCCGACGAGGGTCGCTAACTAGAGAGCCTCCAGCTGCCCCCTGCGTCCCGACTTTGAGACAATACTCTCCCTGCGGTCTTCCAGCAACCCCCCCCTCCGCCCCCCGCGCGCCTTTCAGCCTTTTGGACACGCCCCACCCCAGCTCTGGAGACTTGACCAGCCCCTTCCTCCCACCGCAGATTCTAGTGTAGGCGAGAGAAGGGAGGACAGCGCCCCCTGTGGCCCGGAGGGCTGGCTGAGGCGGCGCTCAACCAAGTAACCCGAGGCTGTCAGTTTCAGCCTCACCCTAGTGGAGGAGGCTGGGGAGAGTGGGCTTGCGAAGAACAGGAGAGGTGGGGGGTGGCGGACAAACAGGTGCAGGTATATTCTCAGTGGAGATATCTAGAAAGGTATACAGAGCATAAGGACACAAAGGTAACACAGAGCTAAAGGACCTTCGGAGGAAATGGTGATCCGGAGCTGGGGTGGAGAAAACGACACGGCAGTGGGGGAGGGGTGCAGAAGTCGAGGACGTGCAGGGAAAGCCAAAGGACGGGGGGAGGGGGGACAGTAAAAAAGGAACAAATAAGCAGTGCTGGGCAACCTGCCAGGTGGGGCGAGGGGTGGCTGAGATCCGCAGGTGGTTAGATTTGGAGGAGCAGGCTGGGGTTAAGAAGCCCGGACATGGGTGGAAGGGAACTTTAACGTTTTAGCGATTCATTGGACCCTCGGTTAGATTTAAGATGAAATCTATGCAAAGAGGTCCCACACTGAGGGACAGTACATTCTTGTTTTAAATTTTTGGCAAATTCACGAAATGTTGAGCACAAGGGTCTTGTCTGGGTGTGTTGGAGCAGCCCCCAGCAATTATACCAGAACTAGCGAGGCGCTGGTCTAATTCGGCAGCTCCTTCAAACTCCGCCCAGCTGCCGCCCCACGCCCCCAGTCTACTCAGAATTCCCGCCTCCCTCCGGACGCTGCCTTATAAGGAGCCTCCAGCTAGCGTTAGGGTTGGTCCCGCCCCCTCTAGTCTCTTGTCCTAATAAGGACATCTAGGGCATCCCGCGGCTAGGGGCGGGCGAGAGTCTCCAGGGTAACAGCGGTATCCCCTTCCCCCGCCCCGTTGCCCTTGGAAACTCCAAGGCTTAAAAAAGGTGGAGCCAGCCGCTTCTGGCAGGGTCGCTATGAGAGGCTGGGGTCGAACTGTGGCCTTCACTTGGGGCTCCCGGTAGCTCGGTTGGTGGGTGGCGCGGCGCAAAGTCCCTGACTACAGCCCCCGGCATGCTCTGCGAGGTACCCCACTCCCGGGCATTGCTCCCCAGATCATGAAAACCAGGCTTCCACTTATGGGATCAACAGTCCTAGTTCCCCTGTTTGCGACCCTGTTTTCTCTGCCTGCACAATGTGAGGCGATGTTCATTGTTTAAAGCCAACAAAATCTTCCAGAATCCTCCACCTCAGTGTCTTTTTGTGAAGTTTATACTCCCACAGAGTTTGTCTCAATTTTTGTAGGTATTAAATTAACCATATTCCTGGTTATCAATTCAAGAACGAGATTCAAGTCTTATTTATCATCTATTTCCTCTTTTCGCTGTCTAGTAAAAGGCACATAATCCTTGAATGCACAACCCCCTACCCTTCTCCCTTCATTGCCTCGTGAATTTGCCAAACATTTAAAACAAGAGTAAAACTATTTTCAAAATTTCTCCTTGTAGCCTTTACCTTACTTCTTTCTCTTATTTTATTGAAGTTGTACATGGTCTCTTCTCAGGAGACAAGACTGGCTTCGCACATGGGAAGTGTTCAATGAATGTTTATTAGATTGTAGGCGCCTTATACCTGCGATTCTCCTTGCTCAAGGACTGGATTCCAGGAAATGAATAGTTGCTTCAATTAAAAAAAGAAAATACTAACTCAAATTTTTCAGACCAAGGGGCCCAAAAAGTGCCAAGACGGTTTTAGGAAAAACCGTTTCACAACGGGGTGAAGAGCCGCAAAGTCTGGGCTCATTTTCGGGTCTGTTACGGAGCGCAGAAGCCTTTCTCAGTTCAGAGCGTTTCCTGGGAAATTCGGCCAATGGGAGCGCGCTCCGTGCCATAGCCCCGCCTCCCTTGGACTACATTTCCCAATATGCAAGGTGGCCGGCTGACGAAAAAGACAGTTACCCAGCGAGCCATAGGACCGAGCAAGACCCTCGAACTTCATTACCCGTCGGCCCGTAGAGGGAGCGCCGGAAGCCCGCCCCGCCCCTCATTGTGCGGCTCATACTAAACGGAAGGGGCCGGGAGAGGCCGCGTTCAGTCCGATCCTGGCAGCAGCTGCAGCGCTCTCATCTTTTTAGGCTCTTCTCGCTATCTCCTTTTCGCTTCCGGAAACATGGTGAGCGCCAGGCTACGGTGCCTGAGGGGAGGCAGCTGCGAATGGGTCGTCTGCGCGCGCGGGAGATAACTGAGGAGCGACGTCGGCACCCCCTCCCCCAGCTCTCCGGGCTGGATGAGGGTCTCTTGCTGAGGGGCGGTCGGCGCTGGGATGCGCGTGCGCGCCCGCGGGCGCTGGGGAGGGCCGGCTCCGACGTCGCTCGCGCGCCCCCTGGGCTCCTTTCCCCTCCCCCACCCCGCTGGTGC